TCACCATCATTGTTGGAATTTGTACCTATAAATATAGAGGCTGAATAGCAATGAACCTAACAGCCAAGACTAGTTCCTCTCTCGGCTACAATCGTTTGATTAGGAGACGAGTTCAAACAGGCGCACCACTTATCCATCCAACACTCATCAACATCTCGACGTATGGTAGACCGTGCTGGCACGCCCGCGCACAACCGCACCGCACTCAAAAGCAGGAAGCAGCGTGTCAACGCATATCCCCTCGGCCCGGAACTCCAGGCTGTGAGATTTGCGCGGCAGACATATTTGAATCTTTACTTTTCAAAATAATATAACTTTTCATTGCTAGACAGGCCCAGAACAAGGGTTTTTATGTCCGAATAGGGTTTTCTTAGCTAGAAAACAAGGGTCTATTTAGGCTCGAATCATACCGTTGGGCCCGAATTAACTAAGTCTTAACCTAATCTAGGGTTATCTTAGGCCCGAATTAGGTTTTTGAACTCAATCAAGGGAATATTGACCACAACATTGACCACAACACAAGCGCAAATCTATCGAACAAAATATTCTACATCACATATACCACGTCTATTGGGCTGGTCTCATCCCCAATGGTGGCACGCCTACGCAAACTACAAATCGGGCTAGAAAAAGTAGGTCACCACGACTCAGCTCGTGCACTCCTGCCATTTTCAACCTTATCCAACTTTCAATTTTGTTCAAAATTGAACAGTCCTTTCACGAGCCAAAGATCCAATTGAGGCATTGGTGTTGACTTAGCCTCCTCTTTTTTCCTATTCCATTCTCAAGAAGGAGCAGAGATACTCAAAAAGGGATCAACAATAATGAGGATCTTTGGACCCTCAGTTATATGTACACGATTGAAAAAGCACTTATATTTTTTAGATCAAGTATATATCTTTCATCACCACTTATATTTTTCAGATGAAAAACATTCTCGTGACTTGATCGTGAAACATCATTAATTTTAACAGTAATAAGGAGGTTTGGCTGCCCCACACTTCCATTTCCATGCATGTTGTCACATTCCGGATTGGCTCCGCCTTAGCACGATATTGTCTGCTTTGGGCCCCCCTCTCTGCCCTCACGGTTTTTTTTTGGGAGCTCACGAGCAACTTCTTAGTGGCTCACCCATCCTGGGATTGCTCTAGCCCCCAACTCGCTTAACTTCGGAGTTCCCATGACTCCGAAGCTAGTGAGCTTCCAAAAGGCCTCGTGCTAGATGGATGCGGACATGTACATATAAGGCACATCAACCCCTTCTCCGTTGGTATATGTGGGATCTTATACATGTTGTGAAAAATAACTCCCTTATGATCTTGTTGTTGATGGACTTTGCACAAACATAATGATGGATATGTCTAATACTCACACACACAGAAAATAACCAAGCACAAATGACACAAGTATTTTAGCGGTTCAGCAATTGCCTACATCCAATTTGGTGATCCCCTTGAGAAATTTCACTAAGGAAGATAGGTTACTGTGGGAGCGATTTTCGTCCCACAAGAATATTCGCCTAAGGATTCCTTCTTCCTCTTCGCTTCTCTTTCTCCCTGCAAAACAATATGGAGTGAAAAGACCACATCTGAGGGGTGTTGGCCAAAGGTCCTCCGATGCCTAAGTTAGTTCGATTGATTCATAGAGAAATAATAGCTAAAAAGGGTACGGAGCTCTTGTGGGGGAACCGGGTGGCCGGAGTCGTGTGTGGTGGCCGGAGCAGAGTGTGGTGGTTGGAGCCTTGTGTGTGAGAGAGAAAGAGTTATGGTGGCTAAAGTTTGTGAGAGGGAATTTCTGCAGAGCTTCAGATAGAAGTTTAGATGTACCTCAACCCTAGTGCGTAGCCATGTATTTATAGGAGCCTCAGAGGCTAGGGTTTCGAAAGAATAATTCCACATATAGAAAGGAATTATTCTTCCCTGATTTGTCGAGATCGATGTAATTAGGGATTTGATTTAAATCAAATCCCTAATTATGGCAAGAATCAAATAAATCCCAATTAAATCAAATAACTCCTAATTAAATCGAGTAACTCCCAATTTGGTCAAATAATTCCCAAACTGATTGGCTTAATTATTTGACCTAGGATCTGAGATATTTTGCTTCCACAAATGCCCTCCAGCTTCTGCATGGCACGTGGTGACAGGACCCGCCCCAAATTTCCTCAGAAACTGGGACGGATCCCGTCTAAGATTCCGACATCCTACAGATGCCGGGCCCACTTACTAAAATCCGAGACTTCTACCAAAATTTTGGCAGAGTCTCCCCTGTAAAAAGAACATATCCCAAAATTCCAACCTGTCAAACATAGTTAAAACACAACCCAATAGCCAGCATGTATTACACAAAACATAGTGTTTACAACCCATGGCCTCCGGCCTCACAAATCAAATCCTAACAGGGCAATAACAGAGCATGTCTAACAGAATTCAACAAACCAACAAAAAGGAAGTTTAACGAATTTACAGAGTACAGAAACTCTACGAAGGCTCTGAGTACTGAAGCTCGCGATTCAGGAGCACACGACACAGCTCTGCTGCTTGATCCAGTCAACTACTGGCTGGGGGGCGTAAAACAGAAAATTGTGAGTGGACAAAACAAAGTTTAGTTCCAATTAAATCAAAGTAATATAACCCCACCGTTTAGAAAACGATGCATAAAACCAATGCATTAAAACCATCATATTCAATATTATATAACGTATGCTCAAACCAGAGCTAAATCCGAAATCCATGATGAACTTTCAAATCAACCCATCCAAAACCCTTCCTTATAATTTCTCAAATCAAACTCTCGAAACACATGCCCACTGGCACGACCAGCGAGGAAGTATCCTCATTGAGAAACAAGAACAAATGCATAGCTATATATACATAGATATATACATAATATAAGAGATATACTATATATGTATATGACACACCTAATTGTACCAGGGAAACAATCCAACAGGGGATTGTTGACTAGCTCACAAGTATTCGCCCTCAAATGGCCATGAGGCTAGGGATGAGCCGTCCAACTGGGGGGACTGACACTCTAACCTAGCATGTACGGATGAAGAATCAAGACCCGTACGCTTGGAACAGTCCTATGCGCGCAGAGTACTTAATCAAGGGTCTACAACGACATCCCGTCAAGGATGCCCCGGGTTCCGACATTTCCACGTATCTCACATTTCCACAATCAAGTTCCAATCCGGGGGAGGTACACCGGGTAGTGCGTATAGCACTCCAAACTGACTTTCTACTCTCGTATCTTTCCATGCCTCATAACCATATCCCAAGTACCCCCACATATACTCAACAAATATAGTACTTTCCCAAATAGTATACACATATAATTCAAGATACTTGAATATGTCCAAAACCCAAATATATCACCAATACTTTATAAAAATAATAGTTTCGACTATAAAACGTCCCCTCAGGTCATCTGGGACTACGAAACATGACCTATTTCCAAAAACAACCTACGGAGGCACAGTCCTTGGCAAACCAATCCATCCCCAAAATGACATCTAAATCCACCATCTCCAAGGAAATTAGATCTGCCTTCAGAAATACGTCTCTCAGCACCTCTAGCTGCACCACCTCCTGAGCGGTTCCCAGAACTACCACTCTGGTTTGATACTCCATTAGAAAAAACTCCAAGTCGAAAACCTTCATAACTGCGACCACTAGATGATCCAGAACTGAAATTTCCCCTCTGGGATGACCCCTGACTAGGACCACCTATCTCAAACTATCGGCCTACGGGAATCACCCCGTCCTCGGACCATCATCTGGCTGCTCTCAAAAAAAGGATGCAGGCATGACCAAGCCCTCAAAGTTAGCCAGCCACTGACTAATCACATTACCTCGGATGGACTTCTTTAACCCTCGAGTGAACAACTGACACTTCTTTCTCCCATTCTCCACCAGTGAGATGCAATACTTGGATGACTCATATAACTTCTTTTCATACTCTAGTACTAGTACAGTCATCACCCCCTATTCCAACTGCAAGAACTCTTCCATCTTCATATTCTGATATACGAGTGGATAGATTTGCACATCAAACTCTGCTATGAAATCTGACCATGTAACCGATGATGGATTCTGATATCTCCTCCTGATTGATTCCCACCAATATTTAGCATCTATGGCCAAAAAGAAAGTGGCCAGGGTTACTCTGTGATCCTGCAGAACGACCATCACCTCCATAAACCATTATATCCACTCCTTGGCTACAGCTGGGCCACCATCACCATCAAAATCGGTGGCCCCAAACCTCTTAGCCTAATCTACGTAGCTCAGAGAAGGATCTCTGGATTGCCCAGTTCTGGATAGAGCCTAAGTCCACAACTCCAAAGTCCGCTAGAAATTAGGGTCCAGGTGTGGGAGAAGCCTCGTCGGTACGGCCCTTGTCTGACCTCCCACCTGAGACTGTTCTACCTGCTCTGATTCAAGATGGGGATACTGTCCCCGAAGTCAGGACAACTGTCTAGTCCCTCTCCTAGTGCCACCACGTTATGAGCCCCTGATTCTGTCAAAAGAAACAGAAATTCCTTAAAACCGAGATGCACACACGGTGCGGAGTCTACAGGAAGTTAACCTAATGCTCTGATACCAAGTTGACAGGACCCGACAAAAAATTCCACTTTGGAACTCGTGCCGAACCCTGTGCGTGTCCGACACCTGGCAAGTGCCGGCCACAAATGACCTAATTGCCCTTCTAGTCAAGCTTCAGTTAAAACTAGGGTTTTACTTCTGCCGAAAAAAAATTTAGCCGAGTCTCCCCTGAAATTAGATAAATCCCAAAGTTACACCTGTCAAACATGCATATAAAAATATACACCAACTGCCAGCATACAAATAAATACATACCAACAGTTAGACATGTGTTCCAGGGCAATATCAGAGCATCTAAGCAAAGTAGGTTACAAATAAAACACAACTAATCAAAACCCTATGTTGTCAAGGGATGTAGCGGAAGATGGACTCGGCCCGGTGGTGGCACACTGATGCACGACTACTGCCTGGGGGCGCAAAACATTGAAAAGGTGAGTGGACCAAAAATAAAGCTTAAAAAAAAAATAGTATTCGAACATACTAACCCCTCTGTAAAAACAATTATAAAACTAAATCACTTCTTTTATAAATAAACTCGTACTGAAAGCAATGCAAATGTATATAAATATATATAGAGAGAATCAATCACACGTTTAATTATACAATAATTACTTGAAAGCATTGAAATCAATTTTAAATCTACCACCTAGGTGTACCAATTTAGCAATCCGTCAATTCCTTATAATCCGTCAATTCCTTTAATTTCCGTCAATTCCTTTAGTTCAATTCCATCATCGTGCCACCGGAGTGACACGTCCTAGCAGACCTCGGGAAACACAAGATCACCAGAGCCGCAATCTCGCGGGATTCAGGGGACACTTGGTCCATCTGAGCCGCGTTCCTCACACCCATGGTTTGGGCGTCCACGAAACTCGTGGGGCGGTGTCTAGCATGCTGACCTACCCGAAGGCAACTGGATGTCCGTCGACATCAATATAACAAAAGGCAACATAATTTTATTCCGAAGGCAACTTTATTTCCGACGCAACATTTATTATACTGAAGGCAACCTTGGGTACCTATGGTGGTTTAAAATAAATGTATATATATATAATTCTGAAAATGATTAAAGTTTATAAAACTACTTATAAAACTATTCCTTAAATCCTGCTGCCATTTAATATGATAATACCCTAGTTCTGACTTTCCACATCCCTTTTTTAAAGTTCAACTAGGCAGCCTATAAGTAAACATAAATGTATAAATCTATCAAGTCATGCTAGGAAAGCCGTATTCAGAAAAACTTATTCAAGATCAAATAATGAAATTAAATTGCATAAAATCGTTTATAAAACAAACAGTCCACTCACAGATACTCTGTGCTAGCTGGACCCTTTGAAGGTCCCTCCTGCGGGTCACCTGGTGCCCGGGTGCCTGTATAACCATCATACTATTTTATTAAAAATTCTGCTCAGTAATATAATATTAAATTAAAACCCTGACCCCCGGCTCCTAAAAGTGCGTGCATCACTTTAAAGGTCATTCCTATGCTCACATTAACTTTTCTCTCAATGGGCACGATTTAAAAGTGCCTAGGGACTCAAAAGCGATAAAGTTTCAAAAAGTCAAGTCGGGACCCGTGGGGTCCACGACCTCAGAATTCCGATCCGAACGTTCCTAGAGGTTCCAACAAGCCTAGGACACATGTCCTGAAAGTTTGGTCTCGATCGGACGGTCGGATTGCTCACAATCGCATGATCGACCTGACGAACGATTTTCAGTAAACCTAGCCCTAGGGTTGGCTTTTTCGGAGCATCCGGGACTCCGATTTACGATCCGTCGAATCCTACACGATCCTTAAAATATCTAGATCAACATAATCCAGTTTGGCTATGATCCAACGGTCCGAACGTATTGATCCCGGAAATCGCACACTATGCAAGATCCGTTCGGGGTTCAAACGTTATCCGAATTCAGATCCGCGAAATCCTACGCGCTCATGAGGACACGAGGATTATTCTAGGACCAAGAGTGGGTTCTGTTACCTTGCCCACACGCCGCCACGCGCCGGCAGTGCTTGGTGTGCCTAACAATTTCCGGTGACCGGATTTTCTCCACAACGTCGGCCCAAACTCCTATCCTGGGTAATATACCCTATTTGGAACCACTTTTGTTCTTGGACTATAGCCAAAAAGTGGCCGGAAGTGACTGAAACCGAGCTCTCAAACCGGCAGAATTTCAAATCAAGAATTAACCCTTCAAACCTCAAAACCTCTGAAAACCTACCCATCCACCAGCTAGATCGTGAAAATCAGTCGAAAAACCATACCTAACTCATCCGATTTGGTGGCTGAATGACTACGAACGGAGCCGACGAAATTCTGCCAAAACTGACGCGATTTTCTAGTTTTTCCGGCAGATTCATGGCGGCTGGACGGCGGAGCAGGCGGGGCTGGGTTGCGGAGGTGGCGGCGGTGCTTCCTTGGCCGGTCCGGTGCGGTGTGATGGCGGCTGGAGGTGGTTGGGTGATCGGCTGGAGCAAGAAGAAAACAGGGGAGAGGGTTTGGTCTCGCGCGAGGAAGAAGAGAGAGTGAGGAGAGAGAAAGGGAGAATCAGATTTAAAAATCAGATTTTTCCCAAAATTATTAATTTGCCCTTTTTCTTAATTTCCTCGTAATTTCCTCGTTACAAGTCCGATTCGAGTTCACTACGTGTCTACGGACTCGTTTCGTCGCGCCCTACGCAACGGTATGAGTGGATTTCCCAAATTCTTTCCCGTTTGAAAAGTCAACTTAAAACCTAATAAAATATTCTAAGGGCATTTGGTCTTTTCCTACATTAAATTATTAATTAAATATTAATTAAGGTTTGGGTTGTTACAATCTACCCCCCTTATGAAAATTTCATCCTCGAAATTTACGTACCTGTCACTCGAAGAGGTAAGTATACTGGGCCCGCTTCTGTTTTTCGGGTCCCCAAGTGGCCTCTTCCACATCGTGACTCCTCCACAAGACCTTCACTAGTGGAATCTCTCTGGATCGAAGCACTTGCATCTTCCGATCCATAATCTGAACAGGCTGCTCCACATAACTTAAGTCATCCTTCAACTTTATGGGTTGTTCTTCCAAGACATGGGATGGGTCTGAAATATACTTTCGGAGCATGGATACGTGAAATACGTCGTGTAGACGGGAAAGATCTGCTGGAAAGTCAAGTCTGTAAGCTACTGGGCCCACACGCTAAACAATCTTATATGGCCCAACATAGTGATGGCTTAGTTTTCCTCGTTTCCCAAATCTCACTACGCATTTCCAAGGTGAGAATTTCAAAAATACCCAGTCACCAATCTCAAACTGAAGATCTTTCCTCCTGTTATCTGCATAACTCTTTTGTCTTTCCTGGGCCACCTTGAGCCTTTCTCTGATTGTTTCTACATGTTTCTTGTCCTTTCAACATCCTCAGACATCTGTAACCTGTGCTCACCCACTTCATCCCAAATAAAAGGCGTTCTACACTGTTTCCTGTACAAAGCGTCAAATGGTGACATTCCTATACTCACTTGAAGGCTGTTATTATAAGCAATTTTCATGAGTGGCAATTTCTCATTCCAGTCACCCCTAAACTGCAATGCTCAAGCTCTCAACATATCTTCTAAAGTCTGAATCATCCTCTCAGACTAACCATCTGTCTGGGGGTGTAATGCAGTACTGAATCGCAGCTGGGTCCCAAATGCCTCATGCGACTTCGTCCAAAAATGGCACGTGAACCGAGGACCTCTATCGGAAACAATGGATACTGATGCTCCATGGAGTCTCACTATCTCATCAATAAAAAGCTTGGCCAACTTATTCAAGGTATAGTTTGCTCTCACCGGCAGAAAGTGAGCTGACTTAGTGAGTCGATCCACAATTACCCATACTCCATCATGCTCGTCCTTTGTTCGAGGAAGTTTGAACACAAAATCCATAGTAATGTGCTCCCATTTCCACCCGGGAATCGAAAGTGGTTGCAACAATCCTGATGGTTTCTGCCTTTCTTCCTTGACTTGCTGACACACTAGGCACACACTGACGTGCTCTGCTTTCTCTTCCTTCATGAAAGGCTATCAATAATGTTCCTCAGAGTACCATACATCTTGGTGCTACTTAAGTGCATAGTAAAAGCTGAACCGTGGGCCCCCTCGAGGATTTCCCTTTCCAAAGTCCCATCCTCAGGAACATACAATCCTACCATCAATGCTCCACCATTCCTCACTGAGTAATATGTCCTGGTGCCATTCTCAATCTCTAATCTCAGTGTACAAACTAATGGATCTTGAGACTGGGCTTTACTTAATCGCTCCACTAGCACTGGTTTCACATTGAGAGTAGCTAACAGTACTCCCTGATTATCCACAACTAGCCCAATTCTCAATTTCCTCATCTTTAGTTGCCTGGAAGCATAAGTGATTACCCTACCATGTTGCATCAGCACACAACCTAATCCTTGTCGGGATGCGTCATTGTAAATTACAAAGTTCCCCGTGTCGTCCGAAAGAGCTAATACCGGAGCAGTGGTCAACCTGGTCTTGAATTCGTTGAAACTCTCATCACACTCATCTGACCAATCAAATTTGACGTCCTTCCTAGTCAGACGAGTGAGAGGCATCGCTATAGTAGGGAAGCCTTCCACCAAGCGACGATAGTACCAGGCTAACCCAAGGAAACTCCGTATTGCCTCAACTTTCTAGGGATCCACATAAATACCCTTTGTAGAAAACACGTGCCCCAAGAACTCACTCTGTCCAACCAAAACTGACACTTACTGAACTTGGCATACAGCTGTTTCCGTCTCAAGGTCTTCAACACAACTTCCAAATGCTTCAAGTGCGCCTTTTGACTTTTAGAGTAAATCAAGATGTCATCTATGAACACAATCACAAAACGATCCAAGTAACGTCGGAACACTCTGTTCATGAGATCCATAAACGCAGCTGGCGCATTGGTCAATCCAAATGGTATCACCAGGAACACTTAGTGCCCATACCTCGTCCAAAAAAAAGTTGTCTTAGGCATATCCTCCTCTCTAATGCGTAGCTGAAGACAACCTAACCTTAAATCACTATTAAAAGATACCTTAGCACCCTTCAGCTGATCAAACAAGTTGTCTATACGTGGCAACTGGTACCTGTTCCGCACCGTGACCATATACAGCTACCTGTAGTCAATACACAAACTCATGGTGCCATCCTTCTTCTTTACTAACAATACTGGAGCGCCCCAGGGTGAGAAACTGGGTCAGATGAAACCCTTATCCACTATCTCCTGTACCTAAGTCCTTAACTCCCTTAACTCTGCTGGGGCCGTTCTGTACGGCGCTTGAAAAATAAGATTCATACCCGGAACGAACTCAATAATGGACTCAATCTCTCGGTGAGGTGGTAAACCTTAAACAACCTCTGGAAACACCTCTAGAAATTCATGTACCACTAGAATATCCTCCAACCTCAATCCACTATCCCGAGTGTCGATAATGTGTGCAAAAAATCCTAAACATCCTTTCCTAAGCAACTATCTTGCCTTCACAGATGAAATGAGACAAGCTGGAAGGACTCTGCGCTCACCAAAACGTCCCCTCAGGTCATCCGGGACTACGGAACATGACCTCTTTCCGAAAACAACCTACGGAGGCACAGTGCTTGGCTAACCAATCCATCCCCAAAATGACATCTAAATCCACCATCTCCAGGGAAATTAGATCTGCCTTCAGAAATACGTCTCTCAGCACCTCTAGCTGCACCACCTCCTGAGCGGTTCCCAGAACTACCACTCTGGTTTGATACTCCATTAGAACAAACTCCAGGTCGAAAACTTCATAACTGCGACCACTAGATGATCAAGAACTGAAATTTCCCCTCTTGGATGACCCCTAACTAGGACCACCCATCTCAAACTATTGCCTACGGGAATCACCCCGTCCTCGGACCATCATCTGGTTGCTCTCCAAAAAAGGATGCAGGCATGACCAAGCCCTCAAAGTTAGCCAGCCACTGACTAATCACATTACCTCGGATGGACTTCTTTAACCCTCGAGTGAACAACTGACACTTCTTTCTCCCATTCTCCACAAGTGAGATGCAATACTTGGATGACTCATAGAACTTCTTTTCATACTCTAGTACTAGTACAGTCATCACCCCCTATTCCAACTGCAAGAACTCTTCCATCTTCATATTCTGATATGCAAGTGGATAGATTTGCACATTAAACTCTGCTATGAAATCTGACCATGTAATGGATGATGGGTTCTGATATCTCCTCCTGATTGATTCCCACCAATATTTAGCATTTATGGCCAAAAAGAAAGTGGCCAGGGTTACTCTGTGATCCTGCAGAACGACCATCACCTCCATAAACCATTCTATCCACTCCTTGGCTACAGCTGGGCCACCATCACCGTCAAAATCGATGGCCCCAAACCTCTTAGCCTAATCTACGTAGCTCAGAGAAGGATCTCTGGATTGCCCAGTTCTGGATAGAGCCTAAGTCCACAACTCCAAAGTCTGCTGGAAATTAGGGTCCAGGTGTGGGAGAAGCCTCGTCGGTACGGCCCTTGTCTGTCCTCCCACCTGAGACTGTTCTACCTGCTCTGGTTCAGGATGGGGATACTGTCCCCTCTGTTAAAAAAAGCTTTAAAAAAAATATTATACGAACATACTAACCCCTCTGTAAAAACAGTTATAAAACTAAATCACTTCTTTCATAAATAAACTCGTACTGAAAGCAATGCAAATGTATATAAATATATATAGGGAGAATCAATCACACGTTCAATTATACAATAATTACTTGAAAGCATTGAAATCAATTTTAAATCTACCACCTAGGTGCACCCATGTAGCAATCCGTCAATTCCTTTAATTTCCGTCAATTCCTTTAGTTTCCGTCAATTCCATCATCGTGCCATTGGAGTGACACGTCCTAGCAGACCTCGGGAAACACATGGTCACCAGAGCCGCAATCTCGTGGGATTCAGGGGACACTTGGTCCATCTGAGCCGCGTTCCTCACACCCACGGTTTAGGCGTCCCCGAAACTCGTGGGGCGGTGTCTAGCATGCTGACCTACCCGAAGGCAACTGGATGTCCATCGACATCAATATAACAGAAGGCAACATAATTTTATTCCGAAGGAAACTTTATTTTCGAGGCAACATTTATTATACTGAAGGCAACCTTGGGTACCTATGGTGGTTTAAAATAAATGTATATATATAATTCTGAAAATTATTCAAGTTTATAAAACTACTTATAAAACTATTCCTTAAATCCTGCTGCCATTTAATATGATAATACCCTAGTTCTGACTTTCGAAATCCCTTTTTTAAAGTTCAACTAGATAGCCTATAAGTAATCATAAATGTTTAAATCTATCAGGTCATGCTAGGAAAGCCGTATTCAAAAAAACTTATTCAAGATCAAATAATGAAATTAAATTGCATAAAATCGTTTATAAAACAAACAGTCCACTCACAGATACTCTGAGCTAGCTGGACCCTTTGAAGGTCCCTCCTGCGGGTCACCTGGTGCCCGGGTGCCTGTATAACCATCATACTATTTTATTAAAAATTCTGCTCATTAATATAATATTAAATTACAAACTCTCAATGGGCATGATTTAAAAGTACCTAGGGACTCAAAAGCGATAAAGTCCCAAAAAGTCAACTCGGGACCCCGTGGGGTACACGACCTTAGAATTCCGATCCGAACGTTCCTAGAGGTTCCAACAAGCTTAGGACACATGTCCTGAATGTTTGGTCTCGATCGGACGGTCGGATTGCTCACGATCGCATGATCGGACTGACGAACGATTTTCAGTAAACCTAGCCCTAGGGTTGGCTTTTTCGGAGCATCCGGGACTCCGATTTACGATCCGTCGAATCCTACACGATCCTTAAAATATCTAGATCAACATACTCCAGTTTGGCTATGATCCAACGGTCCGAACATATTGAACCCGGAAATCGCACACTATGCAAGATCTGTTCGGGGTTCAAACGTTATCCGAATTGAGATCCAAGAAATCCTACGCGCTCGTGAGGACACGAGGATTATTCTAGGACCAAGAGTGGCTCCTGTTACCTGGCCCACGCACCGCCCACACGTCGGCAGCGCGTGGGTTTGCCTAACAATTTTCGGTGACCGGATTTTCTCCACAACGTCGGCCCAAACTCCTATCCTAGGTAATATACCCTATTTGGAACCACTTTTGTTCTTGAACTATAGCCAAAAAGGGGCCGGAAGTGACTGAAACCGAGCTCCCAAACCGGCAGAATTTCAAATCAAATCAAGAAAACCTACCCATCCACCAGCTAGATCGTGAAAATCAGTCGAAAAACCATACCTAATTCATCCGATTTGGTGGTCGGATGACGACGAACGGAGTCGACGAATACTGCCAAAACTGACGCGATTTTCTGGTTTTTCCAGCAGATTCATGGCGGCTGGACGGCGGAGCAGGCGGGGCTGGGTTGCGGAGGTGGCGGCGGTGCTTCCTTGGCCGGTTCGGTGCTGTGTGGTGGCGGCTGGAGGTGGTTGGGTGATCGGCTGGAGCTAGAAGAAAACAGGGGAGAGGGTTTGGTCTCGCGTGAGGAAGAAGAGAGAGTGAGGAGAGAGAAAGGGAGAATCTGATTTTCCCCAAAAGTATTATTTTGCCCTTTTTCTTAATTTGCTCGTAATTTCCTCATTTCAAGTCTGATTCGAGTTCACTACGTGTCTATGGACTCATTTCGTCGCACTCTACGCAACGGTACAAGTGGATTTCCCAAATTCTTTCCCGGTTAAAAAGTCAACTTAAAACCTAATAAAATATTCTAAGGGCATTATGGTCTTTTCCTCCATTAAATTATTAATTAAATATTAATTAAGGTTTGGGTTGTTACAGCGGGCCTCAAGCTGGAGTTGGTGCGTGACATGGGCTAGGCTGACAAGACGCGTGCTGGGCCGTGACAGAGGCTGGATTAGGGTGCTGAGTGTGAGCTGGGCTGAAGCTGGCATGCGTGGGCCTGCGCACTAGAGCTGGGCTTTGTGCGCTAGCTGGGCTTGGAGGAGAGGGCGGACTGGGCTACTCCAAAATATTCTCCACATTTTTTTTGTTGCTATTATCTTTTTTTTTGTTGCTATTGCCTTTTTCTTCTCTTTTTTTTTGTTGAGCCATGAACTAGGAATTTTAACTTGCGATTTTCTTCGTTATTATTTTTTTTTTTTTTACAACTGTTCAACGACAAAGTCTTCTGAAGGGAGAAGCCGATTATCAAATTCGCAAGTGCCCTTATACATGTGGGGTGGCTCCCAAGTGCCCAAAGAGAGGTTCGTGGCAAATTTGCACCATGTCACCATCGAGGCCCAATTCAAAACATGGCATGCACTTTTCGACTCCGCCATTCTTGAGGACGTGCATGTCAAGTTGGCAGAGCCCTCGTCCAACAGTGTACCTCGTGTGGATCTGAACAATCGAGACGCCAGTATTATCATGTTACGTCCCTTCTATTTCTCGCTGGGCTTCACATTCCCGCTGTCAAAAAATTTCAAGGATGTGCTCTACGCCATGGAGTGCGCCCCGAGCCAGTGTACTTTGAACCTTTATCGGGGAATCATCTGCTTTGAAAATTTGAGCCGCTTTCTCAAGCTAGGTCTGATAGTGCGAGAATTCTTCTACTTCTTAAAGGTGAGACGCTACGAGAAGTACGCCCATGTTCGCGTGTGCAATGCCACGTTATTTGACAGTTTGAGTCAAGGCGATCATGTGTGGAGCACAGACGTGCTGGAAGTCAATGGTAGATGGGAAGGGGAGGTTGGCGACGATCCGCTTGTTCCTCTCACCTACTGTGATGGTAAGTTGCATCCCTTTGATCCGCTACAATTACCATAGAATTCTTTGCTATGTGTCTGACGGACTTTCGTCTTCTACTTGCAGAGAATGTCATTTATAAGAAGCTTGATGTCGACCCGAACATGACCAAGGTTTAGCAAGCTCTGAACATCCCTGTCCAATTTCGTGAATGGCGCTGCCTGCTGAGCGAACATCGGAAGAAGGTTGGTGGCATACCCCTTGTTGAAGATGTTGAAAGATAGAAGCTGCATGGCTCGGACCTAAGTGATCTGCCAGCCAAGCAGGAGGAGTCCTCAACTGAGTTCCCCAAGGAGAAGAAGGCTAGCAGTAGATTTACCCGCGATGAAGCCGCAGCCTCACGATCATGGGATACGTCTCCGCAGCTAAAGCAGCCGAGACCTTCTTTTGCAATAAGTAAGTCTTCCTTAAGGGGGGTCTCGTCTGCTAAGAAGGTCCATATGGGAGTTGCTTCTACCTCGTTTATCGGGATCAAGCAACTCATGCAGGAGGTCAGGGATATTTTGCTCAAGTCTCCGCTCGAACTGTCGAAAACCCATGATCTGCCTTGTAAGGAAGCTGCTGAGAAGCAAGGTTTGGGTCATCGACACTAATTCGGGGATCAAACTGAGAGGACTGTACCTCTCCTTAGCAACCATGACTCATCTGTGAGGCCACAAACAGTCAAGCGCGGAGCTAACTCAATGTTGCAAGTTGCAACCAAGAGAGCTAAAGCGTTGTCTACTCGACCAGAGAGTTCTTCAATTGTGCGAATTGCCGATCTGGGTACAAATCGGAAACATATATAAAATCTCCTAATTCTACTCAAATTTGATAATTACAATAAAATACAAATTTTATTCATAATAAGAACAAATTCTATTCCAAATAGGAACATTGACTTTGACTCACACAAACAGTAATTTTTAAGCAAAACACTCCAAGCCATATGAAATTGCGTGGCTAGACCACCCAATAGCCTAGAGGAGGGTGAATACGCTTTTATTAGACTTTAAGTTCAATTTTTATATTACTAACCAAGTTGAAAATCGATCCAATTAAATCTAATTCTAAAACAATCAAATACACAAGTAATAAACTACGAAGCGAATTTTAATGTGAAGAAAACCCAAGACGGGATTAAAAAAACCACGGGTTGGATTAGTTTTTCAATATTTTTCACACACTCCATATGGGAACGACCTTGCACTGACACATGCCTATTCTACAATTGATTCGTGTTTATAAATTTAAAACAACACCTTCCGGTGACAAACAGTTAAGTACAAGTTAACACGGCGGCAGTCTAGGTAAAACGTCGTCTTTAATGTCTACGTCGGTTACTTTATACCTACTATCATTGTTTACGGTTAAGTGTTTACATACCTGAAAATAGCATGTTTCATAAGACGACGCTTTTTAAGTTTGAGGTGTCAAGTTTTAAAAATTCCCCAACGGATCTCGATTTTTGAGGTGTTTAAGTTACTGATCCATTTCGGTTTTCTATTACCATCATCTTTCTAAACATAACGACGGTATTTATTTCTTCCGTCGTTGTTTTACTATTGTCTTTTTTCATTTTTGTAGTAGTGTTTAACGATTTAATGGTTTCTGAATTAACTTTCTTTATGCGAGCATGCCACTCTTAGCAGATGATACCCTAATAGATTTGAGTGACTTTATATACTTGCACCCCAAGTAATAGACTTTGAACAAATGTTTGTGATTTTGGGCGAGGAAACCTCCCAAGAGAGTTCTTTTCTATGCCTCAGGCTGGTGAGGACCTTACAATTTATCTAGACAAAAATGGTATGCAAAGAAAAATACAAAAATATATGGAAAACATAATAAACAAATCCAAGCATAACTACCTGAAAAACAAAGTATCAGATGAATCTCTAGATCTAGGTAGTTCTCAAACATGTGATTTCTGCTTGAGAACATAGTCACGATTATGACTTATGATCAGGCTGGACTGGACTTTTGTTGACTGGACTGAATGTTTCTGTATTGGAATTGCATGTTAGCACCTTCAACTAATATATATTAAGATGTCTAGATAGGTTGGGAAAGTGATCAGAACTGCAAACGGGTACCTGTTCTAGTTGATTTTGAGTGATATGGAAGCTATCTGACTTCAAGATATTAAGATGTCTTTGAGAAATTTGTTGAGGTTTTCATATAATGGCTACCTGATTTCTTCTTGTTCTTATCTAGTTTGTTGAACCAAATTTGTAAGAGAAATTAATCTCTTTTGAATTCCACCTAATTTACCTTGTGTGGATTGCGAGGGAAATCTTGTTTCCTTCTTGGTTTTCTAAACTTCTTCTTGAGCTAGATTGCTCATGAGGGAAGATTGCTTGTGTGCTTTTGGTAACTGCAAGATCATATTATCTTTGATTTCTTTTGATCAATCTGGATTACTTGTTGAGGTTTTGTTTGATTGGTTGGTTGGTTGTTTGTCTTTCTCTAGTCTAGGCACTCTTGTATTTATCGGAGAAAATGTGATCCTGAAGAAATTTGGATATTTTTAGTTTTGGACTATCCTTTATTTAATGCACAAGTGGCAATAGTTTTGTCAGTTCAATGCATTGATCACTCTTGGCATCCGCTCATCAATGTTCCTGAATGCCTCATGTTCCTTCCTTTTGCAACAACCTAGCTGAAGTGAACAATAATGCCCAAATTCTTCCAACATTGGTACCATAACACTACTACAAAAAGTTAAAAAGACGACCAGAAAACAACGATGGTAGATCAAAAAACCGTCGTTGTATTTGAAAAGACGACATCAACAAAAAACCGTCATGGATAAGTATCTTAAACACCTAAAAAATGGAGATGAGCATGGGTATTTCCAAAAAACGACGCACCAAATGAAAAAAGTGTCGTATTATTAAAAAGGTTTCTTAAGAGTTAAAATCTGAGCCCAAAAACAGCAACAGCAGTTATGAAGACACCGACGTAGAAAGTAAAGACGACGTTTTTCAAAAACAACTGCCGTGTTAACTCCTAAATAAACACGACCGTGTTTTCTTAGTAAGTGTCATATAATTTTAAAGGAATCCACGTCGGTATATTACAAAACTTCGCTGTATTAAAACAATGTACCACGACGGTAAAGATAAATCTATCGACTTTTTATTAACATTGTGCTACGACGGTATCTATTACTCTACTGTCCGGGTAAGCTTGTAGTAACCATGTCGGTTTTCTCAGTTAACGACGTATAATATTAGTTTACCACGTCGTGAACTTAAAAGTACCGTCGAATTTATTTTGTTTTATACGTCTAACCTTATTTGAAAACGGACGTGTTAATTTTTTTCTTTTTTAAGATTTATTTCTTGGATTTTTGTAGTCTACGACGGTAGATCAACAGAATGACAAGAATTGCAAAAACCACGATGGTTTATATAGAAAACCATCTTAACAAGAAAATTAGAATGAATTCTTACCAGAGGGAACTCTGTTCCTCATCATAATCGATTCACCAATGTAAGGGAAAGACAATATTTTAGACGTTGATGACGTATGTGTTTTTGTG